GTGGTCGCAAACTCGCTGGTGGATTTCTATGCCAAGTGTGGGAGCCTGGAACACGCCCAAGCCCTGCTCGATTCGTGCGCCAATCGCGACGTGGTGACATGGTCCGCGCTGCTCGACGGCTACGCGCGCCTCGGCGACATGGATCTCCTCTTGGCCTCGCTGCGCCAGATGCTGGACGAGGGATTGGAGCCCAGCAGCGTCACATTCCTGTCGCTGCTCACGGCGTGCAGCCATGCCGGCCTGGTGGAGCGATGCAAGCAGCTCCTGGCCAAGATCCCCCGAAATCTGCAATCGCTGGAGCACTACCACATCCTGATCGATGCCCTGGGCCGCGCGAATCAGCTCGGAGAAGCCCTCACGCTGGTGGAGGCGATGCCCTTCGATCCCGACCCCGTTACCTGGCTCACGCTCCTCTCGGCCGCTCGCAAGTGGAACAATCTGGGCGTGGCATCGCTCGCCTTCCAAATGCTGGTGGCAATCGATCGCGACCACGCCCACGCAGCCTCCGCCTACGTGCTCATGGCCAATACGGCCACCATAGCTGAGAAGAACTAGGTTTAAGTAAGGACCCAATTCCAGGTTCTTTTATTTATAGCCGCTCAACCCTAGCTAGACGCTAGGGCAGACCGGAGAGCGCCAAGCTCCGCCTCGCTATGGCTACCAGTGTCGCCAGCGTCTATCTCCATGTCATGGAGGACGTGATCAACAATGTCCGCGCGGATTTCCAAGCGGAGAATGTGGAGGAGAGCGTACTCAACGATCTCCAGTCGGTAAATTTCTTCCTCCTTCCTTCTCCCTTTGCTCTCGATCGGGAGAGCTGAGCGATATTACGCAGCTGTGGGAGCTCAAGATGATTCAATCGGGTACCATTTCTCCCGGCGAGATCCCCCAGAACCTAGGCGTTAGGAACGCTGCTGCGCAAGCAACCTCGGTCCAGGACCTCAACATCCCTTACCAAGCAAGCGAAGAGTTCACTCCTACAGCCGAGCTCCTCTTCTCACCGGTAAGTGAGGACAGAGAGATCCCTTTCCTCTTCCAAGAAAAAAAAAAGGCTTTTAACCGTGACATTGCTTGCTTGGCAGTACTCCACGCCAACACCTGGTCCGGATCAAACACCCATTGCTGACAAGGGCGGTGGCGATGTAACACTAGTCTTTCTCTTCTTGCTCGCTCGGCTTGGTGTACTAATGGCTTGTACAGGATTCACACAATCACCGAGGAGTGGACGTTAATGTCGGTATGTTTCCGATGCACAGGGAAGAAGATGAAAGATAAATCTAACGCGGTTTCATTCTTCTCTGTCTCTCTGTTTTTTTTAAGCTTACCAGGAGGGTCAGGAAGACGAAGAGAATGGTTCCGGACAAGGCCCTGTTACCAAAGTAAATTCTTTGCAATGCCCGCTTTGGCTTGGTTAATGTCGAGCTTTGGCAGGACTTCTTTACACTTACATCAGGAAAGAGAAAGCGGGACGACTTACCCGCGAACTATTTTCCTGGAGACTATATTCCCCAGCATGACGGAGCCGCAGATACCCCTGAGGTGGAGTTCCATACTTCTTTTTCTTTTATCATCCTTACAGATATTGGTTTCCAGGAAACTCGAAGGCCGAGCATCCCTCAACACGATGGGGCAGATGACAATTATGATGATGAAGTGCGTGTGTTTGCTCTGCTGGTAGATTGTTGTTAACATGGGTTCTTTTGTAGGTTGCCCAAGAAGACTACAATGAGCCTGGCGACGAAGGTTAACAGTTGTATCCACAGTGCCTGTCTTCATGGCTTTTTGTTTATGAATGTAGAACATCCGCAGCCGGCTAACGAGACTCTGGTAGCGACAGCAACACAAGTGGAAGGTGTGGAATCCGAAGGATCGGAGCCTCCCTTGAATGAACAAGATGACGATGAGGAGGACGAGTTAAACGACATCGATCAAGCCGGTGAGGAGCCAAAGACAAGTCATCTCGTACTAGCGCAGTTTGAGAAGGTTTGGCTGTTTGAAGTTTGAGCCACTTGCAATGCAGTTGACTTTGTCTTAGCAGGTAACTAGATCAAAGAGCAAGTGGAAATGTATCCTGAAGGATGGGATTATGCACCTCAATAATCGTGACATTCTTTTTGTAAAGGTGTGAATTTGATTCATGTTCTACCCTCTCAATTCACTCTCTTTTTCCAGGCAAATGGAGAGTTCGATTTTTAAACGTTGTTCGTTTAGCTGAGCCTAAATAAAGGGTTTTATTTATTGTTGAAGTTCTCCCACTCTTCTGAGGTTTTGGTTTTTAAGATAGGGCGACGTGCATAGTTGAGAATGGCGGCCAATGCGTTTCACAGGTGAGCTCGGTTGAATTCCACTTTTTTTGTGCCTAAGTGATGGTACCCAACAGGTTTGTTGTGCCCACTCATTCTCATCTCTTTCAACAGCAGCAGCAACAGCACGAAGGGCCTTTGCTTCGAGTTCTTCATCGCCGAAAACCACTGAGAACCTTCGTCGCTGCCAGGTGCGATCGTACAGCGTCTCCTTTGCGAACTTAACCAGCGCGTTTTACAGGAAAGACATAGCTTCCACGACGTCGAGTAGTACCCACTTGGAGAAAACAGCAGAAGTTGTCGCTGTAGATGAACTCAAGAAGGATCTGGACGGCCTGCGCGAGAAGCTGGCCAATCTGATTGAACAAGGTGAAGAAGAATATGCGGAGGCTTTGCTCGACGCCAATTACAAGGTTCTGAAGCGTCAGCTGGACGGCGGTGAGCAAGGAATTGAGCAGGCGGCTCTGCTAGATGTTCTTGCTCAAGGTCATCTGGACATGGGGGACGTTGAAGGCGCTGCACCACTTCTTACACAGGTACATTTTATTTCTAAGGCCTTTGAAATGGAACTTTTTCTGTTACAGTTGACACAACTTATGGAGAAGCACCACTTTGACAGTGCTAAACCAGAACCTCTTGTTGATAAAGTTGTGGAGCATATGGCTGCTATGTATGCAACCCTGGATCAACCCGACCGGGCTATAGAGCTGTACGAGCGATGTCTTCGCATGCAGGAAGACTTGTACGGTGGTAAAAGTCTTATTTTTTCTATTTCATCCTTACCTGCTCTATCTTACGATCGCTTTTTCTGAATAGGGAACGACAGCCCACTCCTCGTCAATGCGCTTTTTGGTTACGCAGCTGCTTGCAAAGATGCTGGTCATTTGGATAAGAGCACCGAACAGTACATTCGGGCGATTGCAATATTGGAGAAAGCAAACGGGCCGGACAGCCAGATTTTGGTTCTCCCGCTCCAGCATCTTGGTCTCGCTCTTTTGGAACGTGGCAATCACGTTGAGGCAGAGCAAACGTTGAGCAGGTATTGATTCTGGTGAGTGGTATTCCTCTCACACTTCTTTTGTTTCTCCTCCAGAGCTCTTAAGCTTGCAAAGGAGAAACCCAACGATGGACGGGTTGGAGTTGTAATGTCGTCATTGGCGCAAGCAAAGTACATGACTGGTATGATAATTTTGTACACTCTGCTCCTTTCTCATACGAAACAATATTCACAGGTGACAACGAGGCATCGGCAGATTTGTTTCGTGAAGCTTTGAGAGTGATGGAGAGGAGTACGACGCCAGATCCACTACTTATCGAGTCGATGAGAACAGACTTTTCAATGGTGTTGACAGTCCTGGAAAGGTGTGGCACACGATCTTTCGCTTTTGTTGTTGATTTCACCTCGTGTTGTCTACTCACCAGGCACAAGGAAGCACAGGAGGTTTTGGAAGACAACGTACATGCTGTCCAGAATAGGCTCGGGTCAAGTGACATTGGGCTCTTTGTGCACATGAAGAATCTGGCAGTGTCTCACGCCAACTGTGGCAACCTCGTCAAATGCGAGTCTCTAATGCGGAGATGCTTACAATTGGCCACTGCTCACTACGGTCCTAATGCACCGGAGCTATCTGGAGCGCTAGAGATGCTTGCCACGCTCCTGCACCACATGGAAAGGCACACCGAAGCGGAGCCTTTGGCTCGTCAGTCTCTGCTCTTGTGCGAGGCCAGATATGGGAGGGAGCACCCGTTCTCAGGTACAACACTTGTAAGTAGGCTCCTTTCGTGGTGTGACACAATGGTGCATGCATGCAGGTGACGCTTGCAACACTCTAGCAGCAATACTGTTCGCTCTGGAGAGATTCCCGGAGGCTCATGTCTTAATGAGTAGAGTGCTCGACATCCAGACCAGGGAGCTAGGCCCTTACGATCCACTGGTTGGCAAGACGCTCGAGTACCTGGTGATGATCAACTCCAAGCTGGGCAGGGACTCAACGCAGTTGCTTAAAAAGCTCAAGGACATTCAAGGTGACAAGTGAGAAGCCGCGGCCTGCCTGATCAGATGAAGAGCTTGAGCACATCATCCACGGCAATATTGGCAGCCTCTCCGGGATACTCCACGATAAGCTTTCTCACCCTGAGGTTGTCAGCGAACAAGACGAAGCGCCGGCCCCGGACGCCCATCCCGTGCCTGGTCAAGTCGATGTCCATACCCAATGCTTTGGTGAAGGTTGCGGAGCCATCGGCAAGGAAACGAACGGCATCGTTGTTGTCCGCGAACGTCTTGGACCACTGATGGGTGACGAAGGGATCGTTCACTGCAGTCACGAGAGTTATAAGTTTTGAGCAGCAGCAGCCAGGTACCTGTCAAGCAGTAGATGTTTGTGATGCCTTTGGCATGGAGACTGGGTGCTTTGGTGATGTAGCCAGGGATGTGTTCTACGCTGGAGAGACGCAAAGAATAAGAAGAGATCAAGCAGGATCGAGGAAAGAAAGTTACTTGCCTGCAACTTGGAGTGTAGGCACCTGGAACTCCGAGCAGCAAGACGCGCTTGTGAGCAAATAGGTGGCGGATGGACAGGATATGGAGGATGCGAGTAGCGGCGTCGATGTGATAGAGGATCCCGTCGGGGAGAGTGTCTCCCAGTTGGATCATGGATCCAGAGGCTAGAGGGAGGGAGCACAACTGCAAGGAAGAAGAACGAATATGCTACAGGTAGCGTCGTTTATATATAACAATTGGTTTGTTACATCTCTTTCTCTCTCGCAGTGTCTATCACTCCTGGATGATGTCCTCGATGCTCACGGGTGGAAGCGACGCAAACGATGGCCTGGGCTTAGCCTTGGGCAATGGCGGAAGCGTCATCTCCCCGCACAGGATCTGGACTGCCTGCTTCATGCTGGGCCGAGAAGTTGGATCCGGGTGGCAGCAAAGCAATCCCACCTGGAGCAGTAGCAGCATCTCCACTTGCTCGAACTCGCCACCCAGCTTGGGATCCGCCGCTTGGAGGAGCTTCCCATTCCTGTGGAGTCCCCACGCCCAGTCCACCAACACTCTGGAGCTGCTCGACGATGATCCACTCGACTCCTCCGTCGCATTGTCTTCCTCCTCGGTTATCGGCCTTCGACCGCTGGCAACCTCGAGCGCCACGATTCCAAAGCTGAAGACGTCCGTCTTGTCCGTGGCCTTGCCGGTGTGGAGATACTCGGGTGCCAGGTAGCCGACGGTCCCGGCGGTGATGGTCGTCTCGGGGCTACTGTCGTGCTCCATCAACCTCGCCAGGCCGAAGTCCCCCAGCCGGGCATTCAAGTTGGCGTCGAGCATGATGTTGCTGGCTTTCACGTCCCGGTGCACGACTTGCTGCTCCCACTCGCTGTGAAGATAGGCCAGCGCGCTGCCAATCCCGACCACCACCTTAAAGCGCACGCTCCACTTCAAAGCACTGCTCGAGGCGCTCTTGTCGAAGAGGAGCTTGTCCAGGCTTCCATTGGGCATGAAGTCGTAGACGAGGAGGAGCTCGTTCTTCTCGCGGCACCAGCCTTGGAGCTGGACAAGGTTGCGGTGGCGGAGACAGCCGATGATGGAGAGCTCCGACATAAACTCCTCGCGGCCGTGCTTGCTCCCGCGGTTGGCTCTCTTCACCGCCACCTCCACCTCGACTATCTCATCGCTCGTCGGTGCCTCGCTCTTCATGTCCACTGGTAGCAACCGGAGGCGACCCTTGTAGACCGTCCCAAACGCACCGTACCCGAGCACCTGGCTGAATCCTTTGGTGGCGCAGCTCAGCTCCTTGAACGTGAATCTCCTCGGCCCGCTGTGCAAGTTCGACGATATCCTGCTGATCATCTTCTTGCTGTTCAAGTCGTCCGAGGATGAAGATCTTTCCTTCCCACGCCTGAAACAACAGAGACTCCCAAGGCACGAGCAGAGTTTGGACGGCTTGCTGCCACCACCCAAGTCGAGATCGTGGCGATTCGTCCGCGTCGCCCTGCTGCTGCAAGTCAGCCACAAGATCATGCTCACTATCACTGCTCCAGCTATGGCGGACGCCGTCGACACTGCCAGGAACCTGGTTGTGGCAGCCATGCAAAGCTTGCGAGCGCATCTCGTCGAAGTCTCCCGCTCCGGTTGATTTCCCTGGCCAAGATCCGGAGGAGCAGCAGCCGCCACTGCCGCAGCTGGAGGTCGAGCATCATCCAGATGTTCGAGGCCAGAGCTAGAGAATTGCCACGAGTGGAGCGAGTGGAGCTCGATGTTTCCTCCGGTGGCGGCCGAGAATCCAACGAACATGTACTCGTCCAGGACAGCGTACAGGTTGACGCTGAGTGACAAGAGCCGCTTCTGCGGCATTTGCTCCGCGTTGTAGCTCAAGCTCACCTCCATCTCCTGGCGGCCGCTGTCGTACTGGATCCACGCCGTGATGGGTCGCCCGCTCTTGAGCTCCACTCGCTCCGACCCGGCGTCCGCGAACTCGAGCGACACCATGCTATCCACATCCACGCCGACGTGGTTGTCGTTTGGATCCATGAACTCCACGTTGAGGAAGGTGTCGAATTCCACGGCGAGGCTGTGCTGCGTGGTGGGCGGCGGCGGCCTCCCTGCCGGTGCCGAGGCCGAGAGGAATCCCAGCCATCCTCCGGGGCCGCCCTGGGTGGTGTTGCTGGGAGCGAAGATGAAGGCGAGGCCATCGCCAAAGTGGACAGCGTCGGTGTTGGTGATGGAGAAGGTGAAGGAGGTGTTGAAGGAGGCGGTGGCGTTGCTCGCCCGGTCCACCAGCCTGATGGGCGATGGGAAGAGCGCTCTCCCGGAGCTCAGGCCCCCGCTGCTGTCCTTGGTCAGCTCGATGCTCCCGTTGCGCAGGAACGCATCGCCCAGCAGCGACATGCTCCCCTGCTGGAACTCTTGCAGCAAGATGTCCGCCGATTCCACCATCACCAGCGCCATCATCAGCAGCAGCCCATTACATCTCCTCATTGCTGTCGATCCAACTATAAACTGTGAGCTACTTCAAGCTCGCGATTCTCCACGAACCAATACTACCATAGCCATAGCTTGAAGGAAGCTACAGTGGTTTGGAGGATTGGATACTGCGAAGCTGGAGAGAGAGTATACAACGGTCACATTTGACCAAAGCTAGCCATGCTAGAGATAGAGGGCATAATCAATTCTATTCAAAGCGAGACGAGCACTTTCGCTCAAACCAAACGTTGCACGGCACGGCCGCATGCGCTGCTGCTTCTACTTTTGATCGATCCATCCCTGTACAGTCGTTTCGTTTAGTGCTGCAAATAGTTGGCCAGCAGCACATAAGTTCCATCTTTGTGGGGATCCAGCTCCAAAACTCCTCGGGCTGCTCGAGCACCGTGTTCCTCCTTGCCAGTTTTACCACTCCCTAGCAAGCTCGTCCAGTCCTGCGCATCCGGTGCAAACGGCATGTTTGTGACGAGCTCCCCGGCGTCGTCCAAGTACCCCCCGCGGCTCAAGAGATCGAGCATGAGCGAGTAGTGCTGCTTTCGGGGTGCCACATTGTAGTCGGGAGCCATGGAGAAGAAGTGGGAGCAGCCCGAGCGGACGCTCCCGGCGTGGTTGCACGCCAAGAGCACGCACACAAAGGCAACGTCGTCGGGCATGGTGGTCATCTTCATGCTGCTGAAGAGCTCCAGAGCGTCGGTCCATTGGCCGGTGTGAGCGTAAGCACAGAGCATCACAGTCCACGACACGACACTCAGTTCTGGCATCGCGAGGAACACCCGAGTGGCAGCGTCAATATGCCCGTCTTGGGCATAGCCACCAGCAATGCAGTTCCACGACACGCTGCTGCGCTCCTCCATGCCGAAGAAAACTTGACTCGCCTCGTCCATATGCCCTCTCTGTGTGTACGCCGAGAGAATTGCATTGTAGGAAACCACGTCCCTCTCTGGCATCGCATCAAACACCTGCCGTGCATCCTCTACATGCCCGTTTTGGGCATACGCACACAGCATCGCGGTCCACGAAACTATGCTTCTCTCCTTCATGCAGTCGAAAATATCGCGAGCATCCGGCACAAGCTGGGCTTCCGCATACGCGTCTAGCATGGGCGTCCAGGAGCAGAGATCCCATTCGGGCATTGAATCAAACACGAGCTTTGCCTCGTCAAGATCCCCGTCTCGGGCAAATGCAGAGAGGATTGCATTCCAGGTGATCATGTTCCTCTCCGGCATCGCGTCGAACACCACCTTGGCCTCGTCCGTGAGGTTGTGGTGTAAGAAAGCACTCAGCATTGCATTCCAGGAAACCAAATTCCACTCTTTCATGCTATCAAACACGCGCTTGGCTTCCTCCAGATGCCCAGTGCGGGCATATGCAGTGATCATCCGGACCCACGAGTACAAGTCCTTGTGCACGATCGAATCGAAAACACGGCGTGCGTGCTGCGCGCTGCCACATCTCCCGTACAGCTCCAGCAGCCTGTTGCTCGCGAACGCGTCGGTCCCGCCGCCGAAAATGTTCTGGGCGCGATGCTCCAGCTTCCTGGCGGCGGGCAAAGAATTACAAGAGGCAATGAGGTGGAGGCACTCGTTTCTATCCAGCGGCATTCTAGCGGGCAAGAAACCCTAGCAATGGCGGTGGGACTGGGATCTGGGGCGAGCGTCGCCATCCACCTCTCAGGTTCTATGAGATCTCCGAGCTAGCTAGCAGGGATTGGATTCTTTCTCTTTCCAGTTCCCAGGAGAAAGTTCTTTCACACGCGCGCTTCGCAATGGGGGTACCACGAAGTGTCCACCAAGTTTGTGGATGATACCATTTGTGAGCTGCTCGCTACAAGCGAGGCCAGGGCAAGCCAGGTGAGATCCTTCCTCTCAATGCTCTTTCTCACGAGAGCTTGAATCTACTCAAGGTGGTGCTATGCTCGACAATGGATCAACCAAAGCTCCATCGCTTGGCGACATGGAGCGCTCTTGCTCCTCTTGTCATCTTCGATGTCTCTCCTTCGACTTCCAAGCATGGTAATCTCCAGTTCTTTTCTATCGAACTTAAGTTTTTCTTTGGAACGTAGATGTGCCTTCAAGGAAGAACAAGAACTTCGTGCTCCGGCATGTAACTTGCGATTCACTCCACGAAGATTGGACTCCAGCGCTCGTTGAAGCTGGATATAGGGGAGATCGGCCCAGCATTTGGGCTTTACAGGTTTGATACTTCGCGAAGATATGGATCCATTACTTGTGTGATTTCTTTCTTCCTGTATCTAGTCCAGGGCCTGGATTTATGTTCGAACGATCTACTTGGGGGCGTGAGCACACATGCCATGAAAGGTTCGTACATCATAGGCGATGTCCTCCGTGGAGCACTGCTACAAAACTTTCCTTCTGCTGTGAGTGTTTTCATTCCTCTTCGAACTTTCCATCGTTTAAAAGGTTTTCTAGGCAGGCAAAAGCCGAGAAAGTGTTGCTGCAACGGAAGTTACTCGGCTATGGTCTTGAAACCGAGGTGGCCCACACTTTATCTTGCGGAGGGGATGACTACGTGTTTTTCGTCTCTAAGCAATTGCGTTTATCAGTCGAACAGGTGCCTCTCTTTCTCGTGTTCTTGCCAGCGCGGATTTACCTCTGTTGCTCGTCACAGGTGTGCTACGGTCTCAAAGAGATTGAGATGGCCGAAGAAGTGGAAGAAGATGGTTTTGAAGACTGGTAGCACGGCAAAATCCAGGAGAATGTGATTGCTAGCGATTGATGGATCAGGTATCTCTTTGTCGTGCTCTTGTGTGAGGTGTGTTAAGGTCTCGAAGATGGCCGAAGTGGACTTACACGCATGATATATAGACTGGAAGTTACAGGCTACTTGGATTTACAGACATCCAAAAGGCAAGTCCCCTTGCCCACTCCAGCGTTGGCTCTCCTGAACTCTGCCGCTATTTTGCTTGCATCTTTAGGAGTTCCTCGCGCGATGACATTGTCAAAGATCCTGGAGATTGTCATGGGTGACAGGCTGAAGCGGCTGTTGTAGTACGAGTTGAGCAGCGCAGCCACCGTCTCGGAGAGCAAGCCATTGTAGGTGGTGGCATAGTGCTGGTCGGCTATGCCATTCAAGCTCGAGTTCTTCACCAGCGCTTCCAAGGCGGTGATGTTACCATACTTGTTTCTGGCTCGGGGGCCAAGCAGCTTAGCGATGCTTTCGTCCGGAGTGACAAACTTCCAGTGGCAGCTATACACTGGATTCATCCAGTGGCTACAAACACAGGAATCCTCAAAGTCAGGCCAAGGGAAAGTCTGCTTGATATCACACTTACTCTGCTCGGCAGTAAGACGATGGCTGCTGCTGTGCCGGAGCTTTTGGAACGACGATTGGATCCAGCTTGGGCCTCGAGACTGGACAGATTGCGAGAGGCTTGACAGGCGTGAAGTAGAGCGGCTTGACGGTGTAGAAGGCATTGTCCAGGATCTTCCATTCCAGGCGCAGTGACTGCTGTGCGTTGGCCACCACATTGCACTGCTTCAAGGGGCTCCACATGAGCCGAGACGTGCAGTGCTGGAGGTCGTGCTCTCCAGGGAAGTTGGCGACGAAAGCACCCAAGAAGTTGGACATGGCTGGAACCGCCATTGCCATCCCCTGCCTGTTTCGGCAGTGGACGAGCACTTTGGCACCTGTGTGTGGTGATGCGAGCGGGAGATTACACTCGACGAGTTTCTCAAGCGAAGATCTTACCGCGGATTGGAATTCCCCACATACTGGGCCTCCCGTGCAGGCACTGGTCGCAGAAGACATTCCCAGAGACGATGGAATCGCCACGAACGAGAGCAGCCGCGAAGGCAGCGATCGCGAGGAGAAGAAGAACGCCACACTTGTGGTGGTCCATTTGGAGCTGGAAAACCGAGGATTGCGAGCGCGGAGATGGAAGCAGCGGTGGGGTGTTGGGTGGATGCAGCAGATCGTTTCAGAGAAAGCTCACATTCTCCTTTTGCTAAAGCTCTTGCAGGGACTGAGACATACAAACCACCACCTTTTTCTTTTTTGAACAGCAAGCGCTGGCTGTTCGTAGGCGCACAAAACCGCGAACATTTGCAACTTTTGATTTGGCTCTTTGGATTAATGGAATTTGGCTACACCACCCCGCAATAATACATTCTCAGCAGAAAGTTCAAACAGAGTTTCAATCACTCGAAATGAAACTTACTTTGCAAGCTTAATTTTTTTTTTTTCTGCGAGAATCTGTGTGCTACCTTTAGAAACAATAGTTAATTAGTTAATCTGGAAATAAAATAAAGGTCCTGATCTTAAAGGAAACCCACTACAATTTTCGAATCTACAACTTTAAGTCTGGCTATAGTGCTCGACAGGAGAAGGAATCCGAGATCTATTCGATACATAAACGTTCAGAGAGCAAAGAAATCTTTACTCATTTTCATGGCCAAGGCGAAGCTCGCGGTAGTGCCGGCGGGGGAGAGCGGCATTTTCATCACGCAACCCTTCCCATGCGATGACAATGGTGAGCCCAAGAGCGTCATGGTCGGCCACTCGAGCAGCGCCAACTTCGCGGTGATCAACGGTAGCGACGATGGGGTCGTGTTGCGGGCGGTGCGCATCGCGGCATCGGGCACGCTCAGAGGCTTCCGCGGCCTCGCGCTCACCGGCTCCGAGGAGATAGCATCGTCTTCCTCGAGCAGCAGGAGCTTGGACTTCGTCCGATCCATTCGGCTACAGCCCGAGAGCCATGTCTCCTTCACCATCACCTTCTCTCCCGGCCAAGTTGGCTACTACCCGGCCAGGATCCTGTGCGACTTGCAACCGGCGTGGAGAGTCGTGCAGCACATCCAGGCCACCGGAGACGATGAAGTTTCCAAGGATTCGTGGCCGACGGCTCCATATTGCAAGCGCAAGCCCAAGAAGATGCCTCGATCTCGCAACATTGTTCCTGGCGTCTCACCACCGGCACCCAAGTTTGAGCTTGTTCTCCCACAATTTTGGATGCCTGCTGGTGTGAGGAGGGACTTCCAAAAGAAGACCACCCCACGGGTATTCAACGACGGCCTCTCGCCTGCGACTTACGCCCGCTACTTCGCGGCGCTTCTCTATGAAGAAGAGTACCAAATGGAGGTAATCTTATGGTTTGATCTTGATGATCACACCAGCTTGGTTTGTTTTCGCACAGTTTGATATCCGAGCCTATGACATGGAAAACGTGGTGATGAGGCAAGACTCCGGGTTCCTCATTTTGAAAGTGCTTGGCCTTGCCGAGAGACGACCTTCCGTGCTCTACAGGGATCGAATTTACTTGATGCCTCCCGGTACGCAAGACAAGGAATACGAGGTAAGTACATATGTGTACTTGTTATGATCTAGTTGTGGATGTTGCTTTGTTGAAGGGATATGTACACCGAGTTAATGCAGAGGAAGTTTTCCTCAAGTTTGCCAACGATTTCCACCGGGTGTTCATCCAGGGCACCCGTTTTGACGTTCGGTTTTCCTTCTCCAGGACGAACTTGAAGCGATGCCACCATGCAGTTGCCAGCATCTCGCCCCAGCTTTGCAACATGTTCGTGTTTCCAAACCCGACCATCTCGCCCCCGCCACCACCACCACCACCGCTGAGGTTTCGTCCCATAAGCCATGGTTCGCTCAACGAAGAACAGATGTCCGCGGTGCAAGAGATCGTCGCAAAGAGAGGTGCTCCGCCATATATCATCTTCGGTCCACCCGGAACTGGGAAAACTGTGACGGTTGTCGAGGCCATCTTGCAAGTCCGTCGCCACAACAAGGACGCGGTCATCTTGGCCTGTGCTCCCTCCAACAATGCCTCGGACCTCTTGCTCGAGCGCCTGGCCAAGTTCGTGGAGAACCGACACATGCTCCGTCTCAATGCTTTCACGCGCTCACGCGCCGACATCCCTGACAAAGTGAAGGAATTCTCCAACGGTGATGGTAGCCCGTTTGCCAATTGCCCGAGTCGAGAGGAGCTCATGTCTTTCAAAATCATCGTCACGACATGTATGAGCGCCGGAATGCTCCACTCTCGGGGTGTTCCCGCCGGTCACTTTTCTCACATCTTTCTGGACGAATCCGGCCAGCCAACCGAGCCCGAGGCGATGGTGGCGGCCATCAACTTTGCGGCCCCAAGCACCGTGCTTGTTCTTGCGGGGGATCATCAGCAGCTCGGCCCCGTGATCCGGTCGTCGCGGGCGGACAAGTTCGGCCTCAGCAAGTCATTCCTGGAGCGTCTCATATCCTCGCCACCTTACACCCCTCCCTTCAAGAAGGAAATGGTGACGAAGCTTGTGAGAAACTATCGCTCGCATCCCAGCATCTTGGATCTGCCTTCGAGGCTCTTTTATCAGGGTGAACTGGTTCCTTGCGCTGGAGAGTTCTCGCGCTCCTTGTGCGAGTGGGGTTGGCTTCCAAACAAGAAATTCCCAATCCTCTTCATTGGGGTGGAAGGCAAAGACTTGCGGGAGGGCAATAGTCCGTCGTGGTTCAATGCAGCAGAAGTGAGCAAAGTGATGGAGGTGGTGAAAAGCCTGAGGGATATGAGGAGAAACAAGCCCTTGCCAACGGAGATCGGGATCATCACACCATACCGCAAGCAGGTCCAGAAGATCAAAGGCTTCTTATCGAAAGAGAGGCTCGCAGAGATCAAAGTTGGAAGCGTGGAGGAGTTCCAGGGCCAGGAGAAGCGTGCCATCATCGTGAGCACCGTCCGCTCGTCACTGGAGTTCCTGGGGCACGACAAGAAGTTCAACCTGGGATTCTTGTTCAATCCCAAGCGCTTCAATGTGGCCATCACTCGCCCGCAAGCGCTGCTCGTCGTCGTGGGCAACCCGGGCATCCTCTCCAAGGTGCGTGTTTGATCCCAAAACATGATTTTTCTAACGTATGCTTTGGCAGAACGAGCATTGGAACAAGTTCATGCGCTATTGCATCCGGAATGGATCCTACACTGGCTGCCGGATTCCAGCAACCGACGCTCCTGACAATACTCCTGACTACCTGGAGATCAGCGATGATGAAGCCAAGGACCAGCCATGGCGCGAAGCAGTCTAATTCTGAGATCCTTGGCCATGAAATAATCAGCAGCAAATGCCGAACTGGCATGTTTGCATAAAGATTGTTCTTAGTTTTTGTGGCGAGTTGAACAGCCACCGTCTTGGAGAGCAATCCATTGTCGGCGATGGCATAGTTCTCGTCAACTATTGCCATTCAAGCTCGAGCTCTTCACCAGCGCTTCCAGGCTCTGGGACGAAGCAGCTTAGCGATGGGAGTGATGAACTTATACAATGGATTCATCCAGTGGCAATGTACAGACACACAAATCCCCGAGATCAGGCCAAGGAAAAGGGCCTCCAGACTGGACAGATCGCCAGGGGCTTGACAGGCGTGAAGTGGTGATCTGGAGCTGGAAACCCGAGGATTTCCCTATAGAACGCAAGGGCGTTCTATAGAGACTTACCGCCTTTTTCTTTTTTAAACAGCGGGCGCGGTTCGAATCTCTTCGCCAGCTATTTTAGGGTTTAAAGAACCGATATAAATCTCGTAGCCGACCTTCGATCTCAATTGATTTAGGTTTTGTAGGGGCCTCCCTGCCACGGTCCTTGTAGCGCGAGCTATGGCTTGGATCGCTAGGGTTGGCCTAGAACGTCCTTTCGCCCTCTTGATAGGAAGCCAGGAGCATTCCAAATCGTATGCTTTTCGGTGCCATAGCGGTGATTACAGTCCCTTGTGTGTGCTCTGCGATGTCAAATACCCGATAGGAAGTGCCGTCTGACGCATCTCTTGTGCGTTTGATCACAAAAGGGTCTCTGAGAGCTAGCGAAGAGTTCGGCCGCGCGAGGATGATAACAAGGTGAATTGGACTAGAGTCTCTGATGGCTTGCTCCTTGGCGAGCTTGGCTGATTATTCCTCCCTTGGCTGTCTGAGCGCGTTAGAGATTTTAGGGCGAAGAATCGAACACGGGACGCCAAGAAATCCGGAATCGAACCAAAATCTATGCTAGTCCCTTTGGGCGAAGAATCGAACACGCGACGTTAGCAAATCCAGGATCGAATAAACGTTGATTGGGATTCGAAACTTTTGAATTAAAACTAAAGAACGATGAAATAAATGCGCCACAATTTCTAAATTGTGAGGTACGAAATTTGTACGGTGGCCGTATGCTTTAGGCATTGTCATATGGGCAAGACGAAGCTCGCGGTGGTGGCGGCGGGCGAGAGCGGCATTTTCATCACGCAGCCATTCCCGGTGGATGCCAATGGTGAGCCCAAGAGCGTCATGGTCGGCCACTCGATCAGCGCCAACTTCGTGGTGATCAACGGTAGCGACGATGGGGTCGTGTTGCGGGCGGTGCGCATCGCGGCATCGGGCACGCTCAGAGGCTTCCACGGCCTCGCGCTCACCGGCTCCGAGGTGATAGCATCGTCTTCCTCGAGCAGCAGGAGCTTGGACTTTGTCCGATCCATTCGGCTACAGCCCGGGAGCCATGTCTCCTTCACCATCACCTTCTCTCCCCGCGAAGTTGGCTACTACCCGGCCAGGATCCTGTGCGACTTGCAACCGGCGTGGAGAGTCGTGCAGCACATCCAGGCCACCGGAGACGATGAAGTTTCCAAGGATTCGCGGCCGACGGCTCCGTATCGCAGGCCCAAGCCCAAGAGGATGCTTCGATCTCGCGACATTGTTCCTGGCGTCTCGCCACCGGCACCCAAGTTTGAGCTTGTTCTACCACCATTTTGGATGCCTGCTGGTGTGAGGAGGGACTTCCAAAAGAAGATCACTCCGCGGGTATTCAAGGACGGCCTCTCGCCTGCGACTTACGCCCGCTACTTCGCGGCGCTTCTCTATGCCGAAGAGTACCAAATGGAGGTAATCTTATGGTTTGGTCTTGATGATCACACGAGCTTGGTTGGTTTTTCGCGCAGTATGATATCCGAGCCTATGACATGGAAAACGTGACAATGAGGCAAAGCACCGAGAGGTTCCTCGTTTTGAAAGTGCTCGGCCTTGCCGAGAGACGACCTTCCGTGATCTACAGGGATCGAATCTACGTGAGGCTTGCCGGTACGCAAGACAAGGAATACGAAGTAAGTATGTGTGTGCTTCTAGACCAAGTTGTTGATATCGCTTTGAAATGAAGGGATGTGTACACCGAGTTACGGCCGAGGAGGTTTTCCTCAAGTTTGCCAACGATTTCCACCGGGTGTTCATCCAGGGCACCCGTTTGCACGTCCGGTTTTCCTTCTCCAGATCCAACTTGAGGCGATGCCACCATGCAGTCACCCGCATTTCTCCCCAGCTTTGCAACATGTTCGTGTTTCCAAGCTCGATCATCTCGCCACCACCACCACCACCGCTGAGGTTCCATCCCATAAGCCGTGGTTCGCTCAACGAAGAACAGATGTCCGCGGTGCAAGAGATCGTCGCAAAGAGAGGTGCTCCGCCATACATCGTCTTCGGTCCACCAGGCACTGGCAAAACCGTGACGGTGGTCGAGGCCATCTTGCAAGTCCGTCGCCACAACAAGGACGCGGTCATCTTGGCCTGTGCTCCCTCCAACAATGCCTCGGACCTCTTGCTCGAGCGCCTGGCCAAGTTCGTGGAGAACCGACACATGCTCCGTCTCAATGCTTTCACGCGCTCACTCGCCGACATCCCTGACAAAGTGAAGGAATTCTCCAATGGTTTTGGTGCCGGTGATGACAGCCAGTCTGCCGATTGCCCGAGTCGAGAGAAGCTCATGTCTTTCCAGGTCGTCGTCACGACATGTCTCAGTGCCTCGATGCTCCACTCTCGGGGTGTTCCCGCCGATCACTTTTCTCACATCTTTCTGGACGAATCTGGCCAGGCAACCGAGCCCGAGGCGATGGTGGCGGCCATCAACTTTGCGGCCCCAAGCACCGTGCTTGTTCTTGCGGGGGATCATCAGCAGCTCGGCCCCGTGATCCGGTCGTCGCTGGCGGACAAGTTCGGCCTCAGCAAGTCGTTCCTGGAGCGTCTCATATCCTCGCCGCCTTACACCCCTCCCTTCAAGAAGGAAATGGTGACGAAGCTTGTGAGAAACTATCGCTCGCATCCCAGCATCTTGGATCTACCATCAAGGCTCTTTTACCAGGGCGAACTGGTTCCGTGTGCTGGAGAGTTCTCTCGCTCCTTGTGCGAGTGGGACTGGCTTCCAAACAAGAGATTCCCAGTCCTATTCATTGGCGTGGAAGGGAAAGACTCGCGGGAGGGCAATAGTCCGTCGTGGTTCAATCCAGAAGAAGTGAGCAAAGTGATGGAGGTGGTGAGAAGCCTGAGGGATATGAGGAGGAACAAGCCCTTGCCAACGGAGATCGGGATCATCACACCATACCGCAAGCAGGTCCAGAAGATCAAAGGCTCCTTATCGAAAGAGAGGCTCGCAGAGATCAAAGTTGGAAGCGTGGAGGAGTTCCAGGGCCAGGAGAAGCGTACCATCATCGTGAGCACCGTCCGCTCGTCACTGGAGTTCCTGGAGCACGACAAGAAGTTCAACCTGGGCTTCTTGTTCAATCCCAAGCGCTTCAATGTGGCCATCACTCGCCCGCAAGCGCTGCTCGTCGTCGTGGGCAACCCGGGCATCCTCTCCAAGGTGCGTGTTTCATCTCAAAACATGGTTTTTCCAACGTATGCTTTGGCAGAACGAGCACTGGAACGCGTTCCTGCGCTATTGCATCCGGAATGGATCATACACTGGCTGCCCGATTCCATCACCCGACGCCGCTGGCAATATTCCTGACTACCTGGAGACCAGCGACGATGAAGCCAAGGACCAGCCATGGCGCGAAGCAGTCTAGCGAGAGATCCTTGGCCATGAAAGACTCAGCAGCAAATGCCTAGGCTGGTTAACTGCAGGAGGCCATGTTTCCATTAAGCTAATGATCGTTCTTTCGCAAAGCTTACCTTCTCAAAGAGAGGAAGTGGAGCATGATTCTCGGCCATGAAAGAATTCGCAGCAAATGCCCAGGCTGAGAAACTGCACTCGCCAAAGCTAATGATCGTTCGAGCTTTTCTTCATTCTTGCAAACGAACTTTATCTTGTCAAGGGAGATCTTTATCTTCAAAATGGAAGGGAATAGAACAATCGAAATGTGGTGTGACAAAAATGATGCCCTCCAAGTACAGGGCTATGGCTATATGCTTTTGTGGGGTTGGATTGATTGGATGCATCTGGATCGTCGTTTCTATGATGGGCTTTGCTCATTGTCTCAAAGGTTCTTCCATTTCATTTCCATTTATACACTATAGTTTTTATATATATTCATATCTTGGGACATGGGAGTGCGGTCTAAAAAGTATCGCGCCAATCAATGATGCGATGCATGCATGGCTGGGCATGCCCTGATTGGCCAGCCCAATTCGTATTTGTATACGTACTCCATATAGTAGAGAGATAAGCTGATGCGGTTGGACGGTCAGGATCGCGCTTGTACCCGAGGGCTCTTTTCCTTTTTTTCTTTTTGACATGGGCGACCGAGAGAGAGAGAGAGAGAGAGAGAGAGAAGAAAGAAAGAAAGAAAGAAAGCGCAAGGCGCGCATTCCTTGACTCCTGGGAGATTTCTGGAGCGCTGAGGTGCGTGATTGGAGCTGGATGCTCGCGCTGCCGCTAGGTCTTGAATTCCCATGGCGGCACTGTGCGCGGATTTTTGGGGGAGATTTCTCCCACGGTTCGCCCGGCGATTCTTGTGTCGCCAGCGGGATTTGTGTTGCCCGGAGCTCCTCTCCTGGTAGGAAGGAGGATCGATCGAGAAGGTGTCGGGCGGCATCGGTCATGGTATTCCACTCGGAGGCTCAATGGAATTGGCACGTTGTGGAGCTGCGAGCCTGGACAGGGACGTCGAGCAGGTATAAAAAGCATTCAATTCTCGTTTCAAATGCAACCACGAATTTTTCTCGACTAGAGCTTGCCATCGCTCAATCAATGACGCTTCCTTTTTTCTTTGTCGCTGCTCGAGCAGGCTATTATTGCACTGAAGAAGGGGTCTCAGCTTCTCAAGTATGGGCGTCGAGGCCGGCCAAAGTTTGCTCCCTTCCGCCTCTCCAATGTAAGTGGTTTTCTTCCGTTTTTTCTTGCTTTGTTTCGCTTCCTCAGGCTTGGCTTCTCTCTTCTCTCGACCAGGACGAAACCACTCTCATCTGGTTCTCGGGACGAAAGGAGAGGCAGCTCAGGCTGGATGCGGTCACAAAAATCATTCCCGGCCAGAGGACTGTGAGTGGACATTGCATCTTTCCACAACCTACAACTTAATGCATTGTCTTCTCGTACAGGCCAACTTTCAGAGATATCCTCGACCCGAGAAGGAGTACCAGTCTTTTTCTCTGATTTACGGTAGTGGTGGCGAGGAGAGATCGCTCGATCTGGTAGACGCGTTGATGAGTGAATTGCTTTGAAGTGACTGGTTTTAACATATTGTTTCAGATTTGCAAGGACAAGGATGAGGCCGAGGTCTGGTTCGTGGGCCTCAAGGCCCGTGTCTCCAGTAATCGCACTCTAAAGGTGGACAATAAAAGCGAAGGCACCCTATCAGACGTGAACAGTCCCCTAGGCCGAGCACTAAGAGATTCTCCGCTAAACTCATATGTAAGTTTGAACGTTGCGAGCTCGTTCTTTCTACCCGAGTTGATCTGCTCCCTCTTTCTTGCAGGATAGCTTCAATCGCAGTCCATATGGAAGCCCGAGCTTGTTCAAGACGGCATCAACTGGAGAGCTTCAGTCAGTGGAGTCAGCCAAATCAGACTCACTGGCGTCCGAGGAAAGCTTGAATGCACAGGGCAGAAGTGTCTCACTGGCGGATGCGTTTCGAGTAAGCATGTCAAGCGCCGTAAGCTCTTCCAGCCAAGGCTCGGGTCCAGAAGACAGTGATGCTTTAGGAGATGTTTTCATCTGGGGTGAAGGTGCCGGAGAAGGCTTCTTAGGTGGTGGCGTTTGCAAGCTTACGTCTGGTGCAGGGAGCAGAGTAGATTCGCTCGTTCCAAAGGCCCTCCAGGCGGCTGTGGTGCTGGATGTAAGCAGTATAGCCTGCGGCAGCAGACATGCTGCTCTAGTCACCAAGCAAGGGGATGTGTTCTGCTGGGGTGAAGAGTATGGAGGCAGGCTCGGGCACGGCATCGACGTAGATGTTTCAGAGCCTCAACTCGTGCAGGCTTTAGCGGGTGTCAACGCCGAGCTTGTCGCCTGTGGCGACTTTCATACGTGCGCAGTAACACTCTCGGGGGAACTCTACACCTGGGGGGCTGATGCACAGAGTGGAGGACTTGTAGGACACAGCAATCCAGTAAGTCACTGGATGCCGAAGCGGATGAGCTCTCCGCTGGAAGGAGTGCGTATATCTTCCATCGCATGCGGAGCCTGGCACACTGCTCTGGTTTCTTCTGCGGGCCAGCTTTTCACGTTTGGAGATGGAACTTTTGGAGTGCTTGGTCACGGAGACAAGAGAAATCTGGCTATACCGAAGGAGGTCGAGTCCCTCAAAGGCTTGAAGACCGTGAGAGCTGCTTGCGGCATATGGCACACGGCAGCCGTGGTGGAAGTTATCGTTGGCTACTCGAGTGCTACTTCATGCTCGTCGGGAAAACTCTTCACCTGGGGCGATGGTGACAAGTATCGGCTGGGCCACGGGGACAAAGAGCAAAAGCTCGTTCCAACTTGCGTGGCTGCTCTCGTCGACTACAACTTCCGGCAGGTTGCTTGCGGGCACAGCCTTACGGTGGCACTAACAACTTCTGGGCGAGTTTTTACTATGGGAAGTACCATTTATGGGCAGCTAGGAAATCCCAAAGCCGACGGGAAGGTGCCAGGGATGGTGGATGGCGAACTCGCAAGAACGTTCGTTGAAGAGATTGGCTGTGGTGCTCATCACGTAGCTGCATTGTCATCAAAGACGGAAATCTACACATGGGGAAAAGGAGCGAATGGAAGGCTGGGACACGGTGACGTTGAGGACAGGACCGCGCCGACACTGGTGGAGGCTCTGCGAGACAAGCAAGTGAAAACTGTTGCGTGTGGATCGAGCTTCACAGCAGTCATCTGCTTGCACAAGCCAGTCTCGGATGCCGATCAGTCCGTGTGTTCTGGTTGCAAGCAGGCGTTTGGCTTCACCAGGAAACGTCACAACTGTTACAACTGCGGTCTGGCCTACTGCCATTCCTGCAGTTCTAAAAAGGCCTTCAGAGCATCGCTGGCTCCCAACCCGTCCAAGGCATACCGTGTCTGTGAACCGTGCCTCGCTAAGCTGGAGAGAAGTGCCAGCGAAGAGGTCGCCAGAAAGAGCCGCAAGTACATGGATGGCAGGGAGAGGCCGCTTATCAGAGCCTCGAAACCGATAGAGATGAAACAAGTTGGATACTACGGTAACAGCAGGAACACAGACGACTTTGCCGCTAAACACCAGACAGTCATCAACATTCCCACAGCAATTCCAGAACGTAAGGCTGTTTCAGCCAAGCCCAGTCCTCCCAGGTCGGCTACTCCAACTCCCACATCCGCTGGCCTTGCTCCCCCTGGAAATGGACCTGACGAGCTCCAGAAGAAACTCGAGCTGTCACGGCAAGAGGTTCTACATTTGAAGACGCAGGTGCGGGCGTGGTACACGTTTGCTTTTTGTTTTCTCGCTTCTAATCATAACTTAATTCTCTCTCCCGAGCAGATTAGCACGCTGACGAGTAAATATGAACAACGTGAAAGGGAGCTGCGACGAGGTGCTCAAAAGGTGCAAGAAGCTGTGCTTCTTGCTGGAGAAGAAACTGCCAAATGCAGAGCAGCTAAAGAGGTTATCAAGTCTCTCACAGTTGAGGTACGTTTGTAACTTGTGCACACACTCGGACAAGCTTCTCCTGACGCACATTTGCAGCTCAAGGAGCTTGCAGAGCGAATGCCAAGTGCACGTCGGCAGCAGCAAAGACAAGAAGTGCCAAATGGTCGGCACTTCCCAGCACCAGAAGCAGAGATCGACTTGAGACTCCAGACGAGTCCGACGTCTTCCAACAGCGCCACGGATACAACGGTAGACAAACTTGTTCTTGGTTCTGGTCCCGAAGAATGGGTGGAGCAAGACCAGGCAGGAGTTTACATAACCTTGGCCTTAGCTCCCGGCGGTGGAAGGGATTTGAAGCGCGTGAGATTCAGGTATACATACAATCTTTTGTACAAAGGTGAAGACTGAGTCTGTGTTCATGTCGACTGCCAGTCGTAGGCGCTTCAGCGAGAAGGAAGCCGAGCAATGGTGGCAAGACAACCGAGTGAGAGTTCATCAGCAGTACAGCATCATAAGAACCTCCAACACCTCGAAGAACCCGACGTGAGTCCCGGAGCAGCTTAAGCAGCAGCACCCGTGAGAACCTCAAGAGACGGTGAGCTCCCGCGGGGCTGCTTCAAAAAGGAACTGAGCCGGTCGCCAGCGCGAGCTCCCTGGAAGAAATTCCGATGGAGCTGACAACTCCCGAGCAGGCTTCCCCACTCGATCCCAGACGGCAGGAAAGGCATGGTGTCCGTGAGCTCCTCGGCTTCCTTGAGCCTCCCAGATCGACCCAGGATATCAACCAAGCAGCAGTAGTGCTCCTTCCGTGGCACCACGCCGTAGTCGTGCTCCATGGTTCGAAAGCAGCCCCACGCCTGCTCCGTCAAGCCACCGTGACTACATCCGACGAGCAGGCTCATGAACACGACACCGTCCGGGGTCATTCCGAGAGCAATCATCTCCCGAAACAAGGCCTCGCACTGGTGCTTCAGGCCGAAGTGAGCGTACGAGGCAACCATGGAAGTCCAAGCAACGACGTCGTCTTGCCTCCCGGGCATGGAGTCGAAAGTGGCCTTCGCTCCATGCACACTTCCGATCTGAGTGTACGTTGCGATCATGGCAGTCCAGACGATAACATCTCCATTGCAGATGGCGGAGAAGAACGAGCGAGCTCTCTCGAGATCGCCCGCCTGCCTGAAAGCCTCGAGCATCGACACCCACGACACGGAGCTCCACTCGGGCATTGCGTGAAACAATCCAGCTGCGAGCTCGACGTGACCAACCTGGGCATAGGCAAGGAGCATCGCGTTCCAGGAGACGATGTCTCTCCCGGGCATCGCATCGAAGAGACACTTTGCGCCCTCGACGTCGCCATTGTCCGAGTGACCTTGCACCACCGCAGTCCACGAGACGAGATCTCTCTCGGGCATACACTCGAACAAGCCTCGACACTTTTCCATACGCCCCGCTTGGGCATATGCTGTTAGCATGCACGTCCACGACGGGACGTTCCATGCGGGCATGGACTTAAACACCGAGTTTGCCACTTCCAATTGCCCGGACTCGGCGAAAGCTTGCAACATTGTGTTCCAGGACACGAGGTTTCGCTCGGGCATTGCGTCGAAGATCCGCTTGGCATCGTCCAGATGCCCGTGGTGGGCATATCCAGAGAGCATCGCCGTCCAAGAGACGAGGTTCTTCTCCGGCATGGAGTTGAACGCGCTGGTAGCTCTGTCGAGGAAACCGTGAAGGGCATTTGCGATGAGGATCGCCGTCCAGGAGACCACATCCCATCTGGGCATTCGATCGAACACCAGCCTCGCTTCTAGCAGATGCCCGTTCTGGGCATATGCTGTCACCATTGTGTTCCAGGCGACGATGTTCCTATTGGGCATGATGTCGAAGACGTGCTTGGCGGCCTCGAGGTCGCCGTTGTGGGCGTAGACGGTGATGAGCATCGTCCATGAGAAAACATTGGGTGAGAGCATCACATCAAACACGCGTTGGGCAGTCACCACGTCCCCGCACTTGCCATACATTTGCACTAGCAGATTTGCCACAAAGGTGTCCTCCGCCACCATGCCTTGCGCGATGGTGGCGTGGAGCTGCCTGCCCATGCACAGATCCTTGGCATCGCCGCACGTCTTGAGAAGCGCGAGGAGTTTGCTCCGGCTAGACGAATTCTCCATTCCCATCCATACAAATAGTAAGTAGCTACATTCTTTCTAGGCCAAGAGCAGAATTTTGGATAGATCAAATCTGGCGAGGAAATGCGTTATCCGGGGTCGTCACGTAAGAGTGTGGACTCTCGACTCTCGACTACGTATGGCGGAGCTTCCCGGAGAGTTACACGGTTGAGTTGCACGAGCTGGAACGTCCTGGCATGCTCAGGAGCTACCTTCTGCATGGTGGGAGCCAGACCACCGGTGGATCGGCTGCGAGAGAAAGCCGTCGCGCGATTGGGTCAAGCTCGTACAAATTCCTCCCTACAGTGGTCGCGCTGACGACTGTTGGCTTGTGCGTGGAAGTCGAAGCCCTTGCAAGAAGTCCGGCGACGGCTGGATCGTGGAAGCCCGGCAGTGAGCACACGGCAACTTCGATAAACACGGAGCTCTCGCAATAAGAGTCCAAATCAGCGCTCGAGAGCTCGAGGCGTGGCGTTGGCGTGCGATGGGGGGCGAGGCCGAGAAGATTGAGGGCGCTGAGGTAGGTGACTCCTCCAACGCCCGGCTTATCGATTTGCTGGATGGCGCGGACTTCCCTACGCTAACCAGCCACCTTCGCCGGCGAATTGTCTACGATGTTGCCCGCTCGCTCAAGAAGACCGTGCCGCTGGGCTCCATCGGCCCTGGCCAGGTGGTGCTCGACTTTGGGCTCCGAGCGAGCCTGGCGGTCGCAGAAGTGGGAGAAATCCTCAACAAGGAAGAAATCCTCAAGGACTTGAATGGACACCTCGGGTTGCTCTGCTATCACGGAATCGACCAGATCGAGTACGATTACCAGACAGGGAGCGTCTACTGTTGCGAGGCTCCGGGAGACTTGGACGACGAGGCCGACGCGTTGAACGTGGCTTACCTCTGGTCAGCGTTCGTCAAAGGTGAGAATCCCGCCTTGACTAAAGTCCGCAAGCGCTTGTATGGGATGCTGCTCAGCGGGGAGTCGACCGGCGACATCTTGGCGCTCATCGCCCAGCTCCAGCACTCTTCGGTGAAGCAACTCTTCCTTGGCGTGGTTCTCCTCGAGGGACTGGGATGCGAGGCAAACCCGGAGGTGGCGGAGCAGCATTTCGAGTTGGCGCTCTCCATGAGCTTGGACTGCGATCGCAGGCTCAGGGCTCTAGCGACGTACTTCATTGCCAGGATCAAGGTGGAGAGGGGGCAAGCCGTGGCCAGGGGATGCATGCTTGCCTTGGCCAACGAGGGGAATCCATTTGCTCAGGTGTTCGTCTCTCGGGCTTTCGCCAGCAGGCCGGTACTGGGGAGCTACCCGGACATGCAGTTCAACGAGCTCGCGTATTTTGTGAGCCTGGCCAGCACCGGGTATGGCGTCTCACAGGCTCTCGCGCCACTCTACTCCGTGCTCTTGAACGACAATGAGAAGAAGCTGCTCGCTCGGCACTCGGAGGAGCTTCCCAAGCAGCTCCGGAAGCTGGCCAAGCGGAGCGCGGAGAGTGGCAACAAACTGGGGCGATCTCTGTGGGGCTTACACGCATACCTGGACTTCATCGAGGCCGACGAGTGCCTACTGTCTGGAGCTCTGTGCTGCCTTTGCAACAAGATGGACCACGCGGAGATGTGGTTCCAGAGAGCGGGCAAGGACATGGGCTTGGCTTTCTTCAACTTGGTGAATGAGACCGACCCCTACGCAAAAGCCTCGTGGCTCACTTGCATGGACTAGTGCTGCGAGTTCGAGACCGCAAACAGCGTCTGGATTGAGCTGGTTCGCCACAAGGTGGTCCAGGACAAGCTCTCCTTCTCTCTCCTTGCCGCGGGGCTGGATGAGGCGGACGTTCTGAATTCCATCGATTTCACAAGGCTGCGATCGATCGAGCTGGTGCTGGAGGCGAGCCGCTACATGCCCAGCCCGGCCGCGGACGAGCTCATGCAGCGTTTCTGTAAGAGGTACGTGGAAAGCGTTGACGGGCTTCGGTTCTTGGCCGGACTGTACAGGCGTCGAGGCAAGCTCGAGGCTGCCATGGAATGCTACGTCGCGGCGGCAAAGTACGAGGGCGGAAGCGATGCTATGGTTGACATCAGTGTCATGTTTCTCGAGGGTGGCGACGTCGTCAAGGCCGAGGTGTGGGGAAGGAAAGCCGAGCTTGCGGCTGAGATGCTTGTGAGTGGAATGCTGGCGCTCCAAGAGCAGGATGTGCACCAGGCGTTGGAATGCTTCAAGGTGGCGGCCGATGCCGACGATCCGAGAGCAATGTGGCTCATCGGGGAGATTATGCGGTCCGAGGAATGGCTCGGCAAGGCAGCTCGATTTGGCTTCTGCCACGCGTTTGATTCGCTGGGGGAGATGAAGAAGTACACAAAGGATGTGGATGGCTTCTGGGAGTGTAAGAGACTCAAGGAAGAGTACTGCAAGACGAGCTGGAGGTTTACAAGGAGGGATGCTTTCTCAGATTCCAGGATTGTGGCTACATTTCAAAAGTGGAGAATAAACCTGTGATTTTTGGTCAAGAAACTATGTTGGGAGGTTCATAAGCCAGTTGGGAAAAAAAACTTATCACCTCCTTTAATGAGTGTATTTTTTGTTTTCGCTTTACTAAGACATATAAATACAAAAGATTCTGTAGTAGAGCAGCTTGAAAACTATTATGTATTATTTTCTTATTATGCTTATTTTTCTCTCAAGAGTATATCCTTTTACTATTGATGCTGGTGATTTAGATATCTTAGATCGAGATACAACTCATGCAATTTTAAATGCCATCAGTGCTATGATTGCACATATTCCTAATGGTTTAATTCCAAGGGGCCAAAGACAAGATGGTACTCTTGATATACTGCATAGTGATGGAACAAAAATGATAATTGCTACTACTTGGGTTTACAGTCTTCTTTTGCACGGTGTGCTGTAAATGCTGGAGAGGGCACAGAACAAGGATCTGTTATTAGGGGTGAGTTAGGTACACTTTTAACAGATGCTTATGATGATATTATGGAGTTTGGTGCTTCATATCTCACTGTAATTGCTGAACATGCTTTTCAATATATGATTAGAAACTATTGTTCACAAAGACCTCAACTTAAAACTAACATAAGGACAAGGAAATGTAATTTTTTCCAAGTATATTAATAGGTGGATATTTAAACATGCCACATCAATATCTATCAGAGACACATTTCTTAATTTCCTTCAACTGTAAAGCACATATATATTTAAACATTTTTTGTGAGCTGATACTATATAGTAAAAATAGGATATTATGGTCAGTAAAAACATTAAAAAAATGATTTAATTGCGTCTTAAGATTGCAAGAGGATGGAAATTTAGTATTGTATTCTGGTAATAAAACAAATTGTAGAAAACTTTATTGTTACATTAATAAGCATTTGGTTATGGAAGATAATTGTAATTTAGTTTTATATGT